TTTGATTCAAATAATAATAAAAATTTTAAACACCCTTTTTGAAACTTAAATCATATTATTTTTTTTACTTACAAATTTTGGTATGCCTCAACATTTTCAGAAATACTACATGTACCACACCCCCTGAAAATCCCATCAACAAGGAGTTTTCAGGTTTCTATACCAATTACCTGATAACAATAATTCAGTACTCAGAAATTTTCAGAAAACAATTCTCAAAAATTAGTAATGATATGCACCTTTGACAAAAAACACTGCTGCATATGATGTCACCCTGAAGGAAATTGCCGTTATGTACTTTACAATTAAATTTTCTCAGGGAAAGTGCTATTAGTACAAGTCACAGCATGGAAAATCCCCAGCAGTAAGTTCAAATTTTCTGGGAATCCCAGTATCAACAATGACAGTACCCGGTATCTTAGTACACTACTTTTAAAGACAACCCATGTCAGGCAGAAACAAAAATAATCCCATTGGGTGCCACTTTGAAAAAACAGCATCAAAAAACAGTGAGAGATGTACATTGTTAAACCTTTTGACGTGAGTTACAGGGACTGGTGAAGTGAATCCTTCTGGGAGATGACATATGGTCTCGCCATGATCAGACATAACCACTGGATACTCTAGAGTGCATGACAAATGTTTAATCTGTCACCCAGTGACAACCCTTCCTCACCCAGTGACAACCCTTCCTCTCCTTTTGATCCTTTTGGCAAGATATCTGAAAATCATGTGGTATTAATAATATTGATATTCCCATTTTCTAGGCCCATTTAGGACTAAACAAAGCTCAAAATGGAAGATGAAATGGAATCAGAGACCTGATGGGACCAACCAATATCCCCTAATTACCCTCTGAATTACAATGATCAACACTAGACAGATTGATCAGTCAAGCTCAGTATGAATCACAATCTCAAATTAAAAGCCGTAAATGACCAAAACACATCATACAGTGATATCTACATGGACTCAGACCTCCACAAAACTCCCAACCTACCTGTACATATACATGTATGTCACTTTACCTGGAGCCAAAATACCAAGAGGTAACCTACATGTACCTGTACACTAGTCATCATCAATTTCCCTGATGTCAAACTTCCCTGATGTCAAACTTGCTAAAGTTAATCCGATCAGAAATAGCCAAAGGTCTGAAAAGCCTTATTGGTAATTTTGTGAGAAGCATGTCCAAGATTGACCACAGGGGTATTACCGCTAGATGTCATACTCCGGCCCAGGCAAGAAATCTAAAAGCCATGTGGCAACATGACCAATGGGCCTCAACTGCCAAATTTGCTAAATCAAAAACCCAAAGCAAGGCAGTTGTCACTGGAATCCCAATGGAATACCAGAAGCCTGCCAGAAACTGAGAGTTCAGAGGTTAAACCCCTGTTGGGCAGAACATACAGTCAACTAGTAAAAAGTCTTTGTCTGCCTAATCTTCAGTGTACCCACCCTAAGGTACGAAGCACATTCCAACTGGGATATGAAAACTTTTGAGTTAGCCCATCATTTCACCTGTAATATGAAACTTCAACTGCCAACAACTTGGTCATATTGCCAGTAACTGATGCAGTCCAACGAGGTGTGTCTGATGTGGAAGATTCCATTTGTATGAGAAATGTTGACAAAAAGATCAGGTTAAAGGCTGCAACTGTGGGGAACAACACTTAAAGTGCATTGGCTCACTGTGGGTGCAAAACTATCTAACAGGAAAGAGGAATACAAAACATCAGAGTATCATACAACGTATATGCTTGATATAATCCCAAACCACAACACCTGCCAAACAACAAAAGGATGCCACTACTCAAACTGAAGACAGGACAGCTGCGCAAATAGACCCCAGACACCAGTGCCTCTGTAGTGAGCTAAACATCTTAGAACTACTCACTTCACCAGAGTAATGCAAATCTGAGATACTATCAATGATACATGACCAGAGAACAGCTGCAGAAATCTGTAACTGATCACCTTCAAACTAGACCTGAGGTATCTAGACTACATAAAAAACATAGAATAGCATCGCAGTCTCTAACTGGTGCAAGGAAAACCGAAAATGCCGAAATCACACCAAATGAAGATGGGAACACAAGCAACTACATACATGTACATGTAGTATACCTAGCAAAATGCAAGTCATTCCCCTAAGGCAATCCAAACACATCATCATGAATATTTACCTAATTATCACAGGTTGAATTATTTTACAATGGAATGCACAATCTCTCATAGCCCACTACAAAGAATTTAACAAAGCTATAGATCCATTCTTGGACCACTAAACCAGATATTATTTACATCCAAGAAATGTGGCGAAAAGATGATAAAAAAATGGTTGTCATGTCTATTGACATGATAGAAACAATACTAACAAGTGGTGGTGGGTGTGCTTTCATGACAAAGTACCCGGTATGGTGTTGCTGTCAAGTACAAACAGGTTCCAACACTTCTGTGAAATTCCAAATCAGATCATTGAATGTACATGTACCAGCAAGCCTTACATTGTTGGTCGTGATTTCAACTGTCTTAACCTCCTGTGTGGCAACTCTAAACTTGACCACAACGGATAAATTATTGATGACATCAATAACAATCTGGTTTGTATCAATACTGGAGAAGGCACCAGGGTTAGCACATCACACAGTTCCCGCACTCCAGCTTCCCCTTGCATAGCCTCCAACAAGAAATTGGATTGTGCTGCACGACACATGTGGAAAAGATCACTGCCTAACCACTAAACACTTGTTGGCATCCGTCAGTCTCGGAAGACAATGGAGCTGCACCTGAGGCTACGTTCAGACACTGTGTTAGTGAAAACGGTAAAAGTTAAAATGGTCATTCACTACAGATGGCGGTCGTAAAATTAAAACTCACCGAGCCTTTGGAACCATTTTAGTTTGGCAGCTTTAACCCAAAATGGTTTATCTCCTTTTCTCGGGGTCATGAAAAACTTCCACTCATTTGAATTAATCCCACTTAAGTTTGTTTACATACACACATGGCCGGCGTGTGCTTGAAGCAGGTTTGGACTGGTCGATGATATACTTACTGTAAAAACATGCTGATTGTCACCCGGGTACGAGCGTTTGTGTTTGCAACATGGTTCTCTATCGGGAGACACTTGTTCATATATCATTGCGATGCAACAAATGACGGTTGCCCTAGAAAAATGCTCATCAGCAGTCTACAGCCTTACAGACATACATGTATTACCAGTCTCAGGCATCCTTAGATGGGCAATACAACAAAATGTGTCGCTTTTTCCCGTTTACAGCGGCAGTTCTAGTTAATACAACACGGAGAGGCGGGCAAGAGTGACCGCTTTTTTCTATGTTGTCATGGCAGTTTTGTAAGATGATAGCATTGCACGGGTCGTTCAGCATTCGGTTACATTGTATGCCTCATTGTTTATAACAAAAGCGAACCAAAGAAAAGCTGTTACGTAACTCTAGGTCAATGCGCTGGCTAATACTGGATGCATTTCAGCAAAAACCATTTTGGTTCAATGCTAAACCCTCCCTCTGATGTGGATTAAATCCCCATTTTTAACTCTGAAATAAAACTGATGGTGGTGTAACTTGGAAAGCATCCAGACATCATTTCAATGCAAACGTTACACCAAATCGGGTGTACTGTAACCACTATTTTAAGTGAATTTAAAATGTCTGAATGTAGCCTGAGTTGGTCAATTAGTGGTTGACTTGAAGCACATGCTGTGGCTGAACTGGCCAATCCTCAAAAGGCAGGCTCTATTGCAAATTCTACAAGTGAAGCCTGTGCCTGGGTTCATAGGAGCTAAAGCACTGCTGGTGTCTGTGTCTCCTCTTGTTCTTCCACCTGGCCTCCCTCTGTTGCTCGCCAGCCAGGGTTACTGCTTTGAGAGCCTGCTTCCAGCTGGTCACTCTCTGTTGCTCGCCAGCCAGGGTTACTGCTCTGACTGCCTGTTTCCAGCTGGTCTCTCTCTGTTGCTCGCCAGCCAGGGTTACTGCTCTGACTGCCTGCTTCCAGCTGGTCACTCTCTGTTGCTCGCCAGCCAGGGTTACTGCTTTGACAGCCTGCTTCCAGCTGGTCACTCTCTGTTGCTCGCCAGCCAGGGTTACTGCTCTGACTGCCTGCTTCCAGCTGGTCACTCTCTGTTGCTCACCAGCCAGGGTTACTGCTCTGACAGTCTGCTTCCAGCTGGTCTCTCTCTGTTGCTCGCCAGTCAGGGTTACTGCTCTGACAGCCTGCTTCCAGCTGGTCTCTCTCTCTGTTGCTCGCCAGCCAGGGTTACTGCTCTGACATCCTGCTTCCATCTTGTTTCTCTCTTTTTCTCTTTCTTGTTAGGCACACAGTCCTGCCCGGGTGATATCAAGTTTCCTTCTCAGACTGAGATTCAGAAAGCATTGAGTCTGCATTCTTGACAGGAGTATTACATACAGGTCCACACCTCGCTGCTGTAAAGAAGAGTGCTATGAATGCAGGCCCAGAACACCTGCATCTTGGTATTGGTGGTAAGCATGGAGTGGTCCCAAACCCTCTTGGTAGGCGGGCCATAGCTGTTTATGATCTGCCTGCACAGGAGCTCAGCTCAGCGTCTAGAGCGAGGTTGCTCAAAATGGATGAACTAAGGTTCAGGTACATACAGATGAAATTGTCTATGACCCCTCACGTGTTGTAACCAATTTAGGTGTTGGGAATGGAGTTGACATCTTGCCCCATGATGTTGGTATTTTATAGACTGATCAGAAGACCAAACTCCTTGCAAGCATGCGCAACAAAAGTCACTGTAGTCCCTCTTGTATGTGTGTGCTACTAATGTTCCATCATCTGCAGAGAGCTGTTTTCAGGGAAGTACTGCCTCCAGTTTGGTCTTTGCTCTCAGGTGGGCAAGGTTGAAAAAGCCGCCGTCACTTCTGGTGTGAATACACACGTACAGTGTACATGTAGTTCCCATCCTCTGACTAGGTGAAAGCAAAGATGGCAAACAGGCTGACTTCACTCTTGATTGGAACCATCATACTGGACAGTGCCTTTCATGTTCACATGGAAAGACACAACTAGGCTTTGAAAAACCTTAGAATATCAATTAATAAACTACAATTTATAAAAAAGTACATGTATGTGCCACTGCTATGAAAACTACTAAAGCTGCTAAACAATAAGAATTGCAAAGATTTTGCGATAATATAATCCAAAGATTAACACAAAAGTTATCAGAAACAAGATCAAATGGATTGATCCTATCCAAACAAGGGGTAGTATCCAGTTTAACACTACAATGGCAATGATATCATTTCTGGTACAGTGTACTTATGAAGATAAGAACAAGGCACTGGTCAACAACTTTGCCAAAATTAGTAGAACTGAAAATTACAGTCCCTCTTCCATCAATACTTACATGTAACCAGACACTGAAAACAATCTAAATGATAACAATGATACTTTAATGTAATTAATGAACCATTCAATCAACATCAATGGCACTGACTGTAATATACATGTACTATTTCAGTTAAACTCTGTCTTAATAGACTAGTTCACTAATAAACTCTTATTTATGTACGCATGCATATAAAAGGCAAGTGGAAGCAACAAGCTTGAGCAGCCCATTGAAAATGTACAAGGGCACAAATTTCAACATCATCCTTTTCACAGCTTCTGCACTTGTTTTTACTTCTGCCTACAGGAAACCCTCTAAAACCATTATGGCTATTACTTTCTGGTGTGAGCGAGAATTTTGGAGAACAACATAAAACTTGAAAAATGTTGTTCATTCAAAAAGCATGAGGTCTGTTCTGTGTGCATGAGCTGTGAAACCAAGAAGTGTGATATGTTTGGGTGCCATCCAGCATTCTCAGTTGATCACCTACAGGTACATGCACATATCTAAAAAAATATCTAAACCCTGTCTAAAGGTACTGTAGCCTGCAATTTAACCTGCGATTCTGCATAGTACAAGTGATGCATAGCACCCTGAAGTACAAAACTATTTTATATAATTGGACTTGGTCATAAAGGAGCCCTAGTTCTTTTGACATCGATCATGCACTAGGGGAGAAGCGAAACTTGTTTTTTGTTATTTAGAATAAAACCCTTTCAGACCAAAAGTAAAAGGTATAATGATTTTGGGGGTTTTCTAAAGACAAGAGTGAAAAAAGGTACAGAAGCTGAGAGAAACGACATTGAAATTTGGGCCCTGTACATTATCAAGGGCCACACAAGGTTGTCGCTTCCACTTGCCATTTTCCATCTACATGCGCATAGTCTGCACACAAATTAGAATTTACTAGTGAACTGGTGTATCAAACCTACATGTATTCTTGAGTACGAATGTGAAGTTTTCATTCAGATTCTACTATCACATGTACATGAATGACACACACACTGGACAGCATTCATTATCAAGCTCTTAAACTCTAAACTGGTGCTCTCCAGTGCACTTCCTGATTTCATCTCCAACTTCAATGTGATAACACTCCACTAACCCTTTACCACTGATTCTTAATGATTTGTATTTAACCACTGAAGCCATATAGTACAGATCAAAACAACTGCCCTAAATACTACTTAATAAGGAGACAAACCACACAGATGCAGTCTTCACATTTCCCAACTTCACCTTAAATGGGCCGTGGGAGGGGGCAGAATCTGTCCCCTCCAATTTGTTTTCCTTTCAGTATATTGGTCAAGTTAATTTTTTAAGAGCTGAGCCCCTGAAGAGATTTCAGAGTAACTCTCTGTGGTCATTTTGACATGAATATTGTGAAAATGGTATATGTATGTATGTTTTTCTTGCACAGCGCAGATTTTTTTCTGCGACGGATCAGCCAACAATGTATATTTTTTCCATTGTGGTACTCAATGTATGCAGGCTGGTACTGGTACCCATAGCTGGTATGGTACGCATGAAGCCTTGAACTTCATATGACCAGAACAACAAAAGCATATAATGAGTTCAAACTTTGCATTTGTAATGATAAGGAGTGTCTTTACATGCCAGGTAGGTTTTTCCAAAATCGAGCAAGGCACTGCTGACTTCTTGGGTAGGAAATCCCTTTCCCCCTTCCTCTTCACTGTGACATGGGCCAAAATAACCCTGCTCTTTTAGGGTTAAGTATTCTAAGATTTCTAGATAAAACAGTGATACCAGTACATCTACATGTACATAAACTTTTTATGTTCAAAGCTGAGTTATTTGCCATCCTCCATTCCTCCAGGCCCTACATGTACAATGGATGAAAAATGTCAAACTTCTTCATTGCTGTGTTTTTAGTGATTGTCTCACCATACAAGCTACATGTACATGTATTTCTAATCCCATACCTCAGAATAAAATTGTTTGTGACATCCAGCTACATGTATCTTCATTAACATTCAACATCAGGGTAACACTGTGGCCATTGCAGTAATCCGGATGATGAAAAAGCTGGCAAAATAGCTAAGTCAGGCACCAAAAAAGCAAATGTCAGCCACCATATCCCCTTCTCTGACACCAAAATCAAACAAAGTCTTCAATCCGACCTCATACACATGTCGATGAATGGAAAAAAATCCACTCCCAGTTTGACCCATACTATATTTGATCATTCTTTCACCCTCACCAACGTGGCCTGTAGGCTAGGGGGCTCAGGGGTTTCAAACAAACCTCCTCGCTCGCTTTTGAGTTCCGTTCATCAATATTTCTTTTTATAGAGATATATTTTTAATATACCATAATTTTCGGAATATACGCTGCTTATACGTTGATTTTCACGCTGAAAATGCCCATGCAGCTCATACGCCAACATTTGAAGAATGAAATCACTCACTAAACACCATGTCATACATGTACCTGCGCAGCCTATCCCGGGCCACTGCCGCGCGGCAAGTCATGCATGCAAATCGGCGCAGCACTCCGGGCGCCCCCCTTATTTTTGTGACTGAGACAAAGGGAAAATAAACTTTCAGGATTCATTAATGAAACTCAAGTACTTTTCATTAATGAGCTGTAATGAAAATCCTACACTGTCAAAGAACGGAAATAAACGTACCAATTTTTGGATGCATACATTGTAACTCTTCTCTTAATCAATTAGTGATGTCGTCTTGAAAGGTTGATGGCAAAGAGATGAATAAGTAGGAACAGGCTGGATGTTAATTTGTTAACAGCTGTCTAGGTAGAAAATGGCAAATTACGGTGGATTCAATTATCTACTGAAAAAAAAAATCATTTACCAAGATTTTGTAGTCTAATTCTTTCTGAATACATCACCTGTATGGACTACAATTGGATTTTGATGCATTGTATTATCTCCTGCCTGTCAGTGTTTGTCCGTGTGTGTCATTGCCAAAAACGTTTTCATGTCTTGTATTGTCCTATGTTGTTTTATGTATGTCTGTCAATAGGTTAGGCTACATCACTGATGATTGTAACAAACCACAAGAATTCAAAAAGATGTTGTTCTGTGAGGGATGTCTCAATTGGCTCCATATTGAGTGTGTTTCAAAGGTTGGAATATGTGGTCAGCCGCTGGATGCAGTCACTGGATGTGTCTGCAACGCAGCCTCAAAGAAGAGCTGTCATGGTTAGACTTGGTTTTAGGTAGGAATTTCTGCATGTAGATCCATGGGCATCACAAGAACTTTCTCTGGGAAACCGCCCTTTTTTCAAGGAAAAAGGGGGCAGCGATCACCTTGCCCCCCTCTGCGACGCAAATGCCTAGACTTGATTTTGTCGATGTCGAAATGATTTAAAGCAAATTCAGGGGGATGCATCTGCACTGACTGAACTCTGTTTTCGAGCTCAATGCAGAAACTGATTTTGTTAGTTCTTCTGTTCAAAAGAAGTTTACAAAAAACTAATTGTTAAAATGTTGTGACATTAAAAATGACATGCGACTTAATTTTCATCTAAACAGATGTTACCATACTGGAAGATCCTTCAAAGATGCTTCTGTTATTTCATAGGCTAATTCCTTAGTCACCCCCGGTGTCATTTAACTACTAATTAATTGCCTCTGTCACTAATACAAATAATTCAATAGTGTACTTTAACATTAAGACTTACATGTGTTTATAAAATGAAATCAATTTTAAATTACAGTTACATGTACATGTATCAAGTAAAAAAGTTTGCTTATTTCTTTTCACAAAAAAATTGGGATGTGTTTGGTTCAAAATTTGCCAAGTATGTATCTTGAATTGTGAACGTTAGATTCCTTGTCATACATTATCTGTTGGAATCCTCCAATGACCAACACTAATTGACAAGGAGCTCCATAGGAGAGTTCCAATGAAAGACATAAATGAAGTTAATATCACACAAGCAGTTTTATTACTTCCTGAGTCTCTTAGGGCCTATCTTTATGGCTCCCCAGTTTAACCACTTTACATCTCTACCCCGTCTCCTTTATCCTATCATTCACTGCCTCTCCTTTTCACCTACCTACCCAAAAAGTGAAATGTTTTACAAAGTACAACTCAAAAGTTACCTGTTGCATTGGCCCTGTGACCCCCTGCCAGCCTGCTCCGATACATGGTTATTTTTATACCTTTTTAGCGCCGCCATGCACTGGACATGTATACACACAAAACAACTGCCCTAAAATTTAATGACGAAATAAAATAATGATTTCTTCTGTAAGCATTCATCCTAGATATTGTCATTTTTGATGATTTTTCAAGTTACAGTAGTTTGAACTCGATGTACTTTAAATCAACTTCCAGGTAGTCCCATACATGCCAAAAATTGAGTTACATGTACATGTACATGTACCATATCATAGTTTTTATATTACACAACATGTATTACCTCCCGCCTGACATGCTACATGTATGCCATAGAGAACATTTTACGGATGTTTTGGTCAATAAATAAAGAAAAAACACTTGTGGCATTTATTTCAGACAATTTGTAATTTTGGATAATTATAAAGAACTGTATGTTTGAACTACTTTTACTCAACCTCCGGGTTGACCCACACACGCGCAGAAATCGAGAGAAGAGTTGGTTTATTGCTAACTCCGGCCTGGCGTATTATTCCATTTAGGATGATTTACTGATGTTTTACGAAGCTAGAAGGAAATTTCCCCTTTTTTTCCTTCATGGTTTTTGGGGGGTTTTTAGCCCTCCTCAAAATTGGTAAAGTCACTGACTTCGGTGGATGTTGGTGCCAATTTTATTCAGGGACCTCAAAATTGACCTCAGTTTATAAGTCACTGTATTATTATTAACAACGCTTCGGAGAATGTGCTAAAAGGAAATGCCTGACCCCTTCCTTTGTTGGGAGAAGCACTAGATTATTAAGGGCCAAATTAAGAAAAGCCATTTGGTACTCACCAATTTCTGTCGTTTGACATAAATAGTTGTTAGTGGTTTTTGAAAATGCTTAATAGTTGACTGATATTCCAGCAAGCCAGTGCAGGCCCAAGTCAGGCCGCACTTAATGGAAATTGCTGTCCAAGCACAGCGTTTGATATTGATGACTTAGGATGGTTGGCCCAAAAGATATTGTATACTGGACTGGATCCTCGTGAATTTGTTCATGAGAATTGGGTAATTTTGTATTCTGTAATTTGTAATTGCTGTTTGAATTTGCATATCGAAGGCTTTTACTGCACAGGTACATTCCAAAAATGATTTACCACTCCATCTGCTTTGAGTGGAAACAAATGCTGATAATTGCTTTTTCGTATATTTTGCTGATAGCTTTATACATTTTGCTGATATGAGTTGCTCCGCGTCACCAGCTTCCGGCGAGAACAATCTCTGTAAGACCAAGCCGTACCTCTAGAAGCCCATTTCTGAACCAGCGCGCGAAGCTATTTCGAAAACTGAAGTTGTCTGCCAGGCTATTTTATTTGAGTATCTAGTTATTATAATTTGAATGACAACACCTCATTTGTAATTCAAATTTGTTTACCAACACATCCAATTTGGAAATAGCATCCAATTTGAAGTAGAATCAGTTCATTTTAATGACATGAATGATGGACATCACAACAGTAACGATGAAAAGAGGCAAACTCAACGCATGCTTTTACATTTCTCGTACGAACCTACTGTGAATGAACGCGCCTCCATCCATCGGGGGGCAGCCACTCACCTCCATCAAATGGGGGCATACTCAATGCATGCATTTAAATTTCTTGTACAACCCAACTGTGAATGAACGCGCCTCCATCCATCGGGGGTGAAGCAGCTACTCGCCTCTATCAAACGGGGGCATACTCAACGCACACTTAATGTTTTACAATATTCTTGTACAACCCAATTGTGAATGAACACGCCTCCATCCATCGGGGGCGAGGCAGCCACTCGCCTCTATCCAACGGGGGCGGGTCATGCACTAGCTTTAAATTTCATCTAAATGGCTCATGTACAATTTGATCTCACAGTGTCAGTATAGTTGATACAATCAACACAGACACAGTTTAAAGGAGGCTGCGACTCACAAGGTCCCCATGTTACCCACAGTCTCAATTTTTCCGTATCAGTATGTTTGCCAGTCCCTATGTTCTCTGATCACTGTGTCTCCTTATTTTTTTCTCCAGTCGAGCTGGAACAAGATCCAGGGAACTTGAAATAGACCCCCCCCCGGGAAACTGCAAATAGGAAGCCTATATTTTTGGCCTAAACTTAACTAAAGTGACTATGGCGTGCCATGGTACTCTAAATAAAATTTAGGAGGTTGTGGGTGAAAACGTGATGAAATAAAAAAAAGAATAAATGACTCGGTTATTATTTCACGTTGGTACACAATGTAGGCATACAAAAATTACTATGTTTACACTTGTAATCCCAAGTCTGGGTTAATGGGGTTATCAGATAAATGTAGTTTTTGTGGAATAATATTTTTGGACATTTTTGCATTCCGTGAATGCACGCAGGAGCGGTGAAAATTAAAGGTTTATGAGTCCGTCTAGGAAAGATTACTGGAGATATTTGATGTTTAACATCAGCCATTAGACTTAAATTTCAGTCTGTATAAATGTAGTGCATCTGTAGTAAATGAGATCAGCTCTTTGAATCACTTTACAGTAAAATGTGTGCGTAAATTCCTCACCAAGCAAATGCATAGAGCGGATCAACCTTGACACCGGCATGAGGCGGTGCATTACGAGACGCTGTTCCACCTTTCATTGTGTTGAGAACATGGGTCGATCACTAGCGTTGGTAACATTTTGCACAAGATATGATATTGGCATTTATGTTACAAACAACACAAGGATACAAGATGGTTTCTCAGCTTTGAAGCCTTAGCATCCCGGCCAGCCGGGCCGACCTAACTTCCATGTATATCTGTTGTCAGCAAAACGTTTTCTCACTTTTGCGTTTGCAGTAAATTCTTCATGGTTTTGAATACACTACTCAAAAGAATTAGAGGAACAAGAGAACAGAATGTTTTTGTCATGGTCTATGTGGGCTACTGTTTCGGAACAAGAGGTATTAAAGTTATGTGAAAATCATTCAGGTGTTGTCAATTGGTTCTCAAACAATACTCAACAATGTTGGTGCTATCATGCATGTCATTCTGTTCTCTTGTTCCTTAAATTCTTTTGAGTAGTGTATTATGTATTCAGTTGAGCTTCACTGTACTGTAAATTACCCCCACCATACAAATGACTAGGGTGGAAAAACAGGGAAAACTTATGTGGGAGCATATTCTTGTTCCAGTTTTGATTCTCTCAGACAATTCCGTTATGATTGAAAAAGTGGTCAAATTGAGCCCATTTTCTGTATATGTTTGAGACAGCCGAGGGCAGGAAAACAATTGAGCATACATGTATAAGAAGTTATGTTGTTTTCAAATACACAAGAAATATTACATCTTGACAATCCAAATTGCGCTGTATATTGGTCATGAATTATTGCGGAATTTCATGCAAGTGGTCACACTATGACAAGTACCTACATGTACATGTGCATGTACAGGTACATGTATATGTACAGTACATGTGCTTATACATAGACATATGTACGTATGTACAGGGCGTCAAAGTGAAGCTACCTGTACAGTGTACATTTAGTTACTGTACATATGTTGAACACTCACACATAAGTTCACTACCACCTGACCACACTTTCCTGCCTGCAGCCAGGCCAGCTGTAACCACACAGTGCATATTGCAGACAAACCACAATGCCGTAAATCAGACCCAAAAGTGGACACACATGGCCATGTACTGATTATATCCATAATCATTATTATTATAAGCCATTATATCGTGGGTCGTTTACCACTAGAGAGGCCATATAAACTAGGTGGGGTGGTCTTGAATACGAACCCGGGAAACCCGGGGTTCGCAAAAGCCACATTAGACTGGGCTCGGTCCAGTAATAAGTGTACAATCATGTACTGTATATGGTACCAAAGCTCTGCGCGCTAAGTTTTGCCATACTCGGCCCGGCATGGTGGGTCATGGTGGTACACTATACAGTAGGCCTCTGATGCAGTGCATGTAAGTAACTACATGTACATGTAAGACTTAATTTACACAGATGATTAAAATTCATTCTGGGGACATCATGATGGATTATTGGTCAACTACCTGACTACAGGGTGTTGTGGCAGAAGCATGCTGCCGAGTGCCAACGCAAATTTGTTTCTTTCATGTGGTGTATTTTTGTCATGTGATGTAACAACCATCGACTTCATGGTGAATATTTGTGAGAGCTGTCAATTACTCTACTTGGCAATTGCATTACAAGGAGGCTGCTTTTTCTTCTTTTTTGATTATACAGAATTTTGTCATTTAAGATTGTACTTGTCCAGACCATGGAGGAGGAACCTCATTTTCAGTGAAACTGTGTCATTGATGCAAACTGTGTTAGCCTACCACATGTATTAAGCATGGTAAGCAAAGTGCTAAGTCGTGTCAATTTGCTGCTATGACGCCTCTTTTTCAAATATGGGAATTGATCTGTTGTACAACAAATCAATCCGCCCCAAGTGGAAACAAAAGATGGCGTGCTTTTCCATGGCCTTGCAGGCCCTCTGCCGTGTCAGCGCACAGGTTTATGTGTGCTTGGCGTGAAGCGTGCTGAGCTAGACGCGCAATGCATTTATATTGGAATTTATAGTATTCGCGCTCGAGCCAGGCCCACGCGTGAGTTCATTTAGAAAACCGGGCCCAAGCTGTCTCTCCTTAAGCGTTGAGGGTGCACTTCTGCACGAGGGGGATACCAAAGTCAGAAGAGGAGTAGGCCATACTTGTGGCAAAATAACTTTGACTAGTGACTTGTAAGTCATTCAAATAAACAAAAGAAAACAGATTTCCATATACGAAGTTCACTTTTTTTGGTCAATTTTTGCTCTAGGACAGATTTAAAAAGGAGCCAAATTTATTTTGGGGGGACATGCTCCTTTCGCGAAAGCAAGCCATGGCACTTGGTAGAAACTCGTCCCAAAAGTAAGATGGTTTTTCCCAAAAATAATGCTGAATCTGAGTTCATATGGCATAGATGTCTGTGATAGGATCCAAGTAAGCATACAACGGCCAGGTTTCTCATTCTCTTCCGGTGTTGAGGTTCTGGTTTTAAGGTCACTTTGCACTGTGACCCCAAGAATCCTGAGCGTGTTCACAAATTCCAGGGCATGATCATTGAGAATTACATGTACATGTATGAAAGGGGGTTACAGGTTTGGCATAAACGTACACGTAACTTCCATTGCGTAGCATTTTGCTGAGGATCATTTCAGTAGATTTGAAAATGTATTTGTATTAAATACAACAACCATCACAAAATTCGCTCTGCATTCCACAATCGTCAAGTCATCCACATACACGACATACTTAAATGTATATGCATTAATTCCAACAGGTGGCTTTGCATCATTGATCATGGAGAGGAATACAGCTGGTCTCAACATTGTACCTTGGGGAACCCAAGCATGAACAGATGAATATTTGTCACAGTTGGTCCCAGAGATAAAATGGTTGGGATTGGGTTTTGAAAGTGTTTGTCTACTTGCTCTGCACCCATGGTGAGTGGGGCATCGACGAAGAATAGAGGGTACATTTACATGTAGGTTATGGAGCGGGAACTTAAATTTCCTATTGATACATGTTAGTCACAAGTATTCACAACTGTACACAAGGTGCTCATTGGATGTGTCAAAGTCTTGTTGGGGACTGTAATTCAGTCCTTCTGAACACGTTATCCTTTTGAACACATACACAATTAATATTGCTGTCGGAGATTCTGCAGCGAAAGATATACTGTTTCTTCTTCAATGTAATACTCATGACTGATCACTTCTTTCAGTTAAGAATTAAAAGCCAATTAGTACGCCAATCATGAACTGTTAACATCATCCTGAAAAATTGCACAATCTGATTCTTGAGGAACTTGCTGAAAAATGTTCATGTCATCAGCAAACACCAAACACTTGTTCAAAATGCACTGACAAGGTAAATCGTTAACAAGAAGAGAATGCCAAATACAGAACCTTGGGTGCACCTGAGGGAACTGGGTGCCAACTAGAACAATGACCATCAACCACCACTCAGTGTCTCCTGTCGGATTCACGTGATTAGCTATGAGGTAATTTTAGCAAAGATTGATGTATATTGTAAATAGTAATGTAATGGACCTTTACTGCCATCCGAGTGGTTTATTATTACTTGTGGGCTTTCTCCCGGGAATAACACCAATCCGTCATTTGGTAGCGTGGCAACAGTGCTCATCCCGTATAAAGACGAGTGTAAATGTACATGCCAATACTACGACACTCTTTTCAGTAAGAGAGAGACACAGGACACGTCTGTTTTGTTTCAAGTCCAAACCAGTTCTCCTGGTTTATTAAATTCAACACAATCTCTTAACTAGGAAACTTATCCCAAGTAATGCTTAAACCCCGCCCCATAAAAGCGATTGGATAACTCGGCTAGTACACTTACCCCTGGTTAACTGAAAGTTAGCTGAACTAACAGACATCCCAGGCGCTTCGCAAAGACTATTTATAACCATTCTACAGTGATAAAATGAGCAAGTGATGAGTGCTTACACTTGGGTCATCACATTAAGTTTGTAAAATAAGAGTTTATGATTAAGCTGGTCAAAAGCCTTTGAGACGACTGTGTAAATCATGTCCAGCTGTTCACCCTGATCAACGGCATGGTAGGCATCCTGTAACAAGGCAGTCAAACTGCTCAGCAATCACAGGCTGTACATGGTGCGCAAGTCTGCTGCACAGAATCTTCTCACAGAATTCAGAAACCAGAGGAATCAAAGACACTGGCCTTT